TTATTGATGTGCATGATGGTAAACTGATCCTGCGTACTGGGAATGAACAGGCTACTTTTTCTGTGACTGATTTCGATCACTATGCTATGATTGCTATCACACCTGTGCATGCCATTTCTGATCAGGTACACGAGCCTGTCGTGTATCCTTCTGCACCTCCCATTTTGCAGGACCCCCCTCTCACTCCTTCGCCGCCGCTCCCTCCAGCCTCACCACCGAATAAAAAGCTCAAAGAGGAGTGGCGGCCGAAGCAGCAGATTGCTAAGCCTGCACGGAAGAAGGGTGGAGACCACTACGAGCTGGTCCCGCCCCCTGCACCACGACCACCCTGGACGTCCGGGTACTCACTCGCCTACATCTTGCAGGATGGCCAGGTCGAGCTGACCGATGATGGTGGTCGCATCTGTCGGGTGCATGGCCACAACCTGAAGCTGTACCTCAAGAGCGACGTGGATCCGCTCTTGGAGGCACCTATTCCTGCACCTCCCTGAGTATCCACCATGGGCGTCCAGCTAAAAGACGGTAAAGAAGCGCTTGTGTGGAGGCAACCCCACCACGGTTTGACTTTCTTTCTTGTGTTTTGAGTCGGATTGTAAACCGGTTTGGTTTTGGTTTGTTTTCCTTTGTTTTGGATGATGTATTATTGGGCTGACCATTGGACCTAACATATAGTGTTTGAGCTCTTCTGTTCCCCTTTAGCTGTGCTTTGTTCCAGACTGGTCCCTCTCCAGTCCGCTTCCAGTCTCCTGCAGTCCGTGCATACCGGTAACACCGTTCCCCTTTCCCTTCCCTCTTCTCCATTGAGGGCAATGTCGATCTTAAGTGTGGGGGGGGGGGGTGTTTATCTTTTGACTGCATTAGATCTGTTTGTGTGCTTGGAGCCTAGTCCACTGTCCAAATTTTTAAATTTGAGGGCTCCAAGCACGGCTGTTTGCTTGATGATTGAACGTATTGGCACTGTGGATGTGATTAGTGAATTGAATGGCTTTTGACTTGATACATGACAACTTGAGTGTGACTTAGACAACTTATTGTGATGACTGAGATGTGCAGTAGAATTGTGTAGGGGTTCAGTTTTTCAACTGTCTGCTCACCAAATGTGACTTGGTTTGATCACTTGCTTTTGACAGTCATTTATGCATCTAGTTCAGGGAATCAGAATGTGAGATAGAGCATATAGGTAGCCATGTGAGATTTGAGCCTGCTCGTTTCTTTCTTGTGCGATAGATCCCTCTTCCATGAAATGTAGCATTCACGTTGTCACTAGCTAAGATGATGGAGGCATAGGATTAGCCCACGACCAAATTGACTGTCCTGGTGTGTCATACCCCTAGTCAGCCCCTTTGAGCCGTGTGTTATCCTTTCTTTCGGTCTACAATGAAAAATCACCCTTTGCATCTTTTAGAAGGTTCCACAGAGTGGTTTTTACGTGTTTTCTGCTGTTTCTGCTAAATGTAATGTGAGGGTTGGAGGTAGTACTTAAAAGTTGGGCGTGTATATGAAAAATGTGCAGAGGTGGTGGGTCTCTTAAGGAATGAATAAAGAAAAACAAAGAAAAAAAATGAAAGCAAAAGAGAGCCACCACCAAAATTCTGAATAGTGCTCATTAGGTAGTGTTTCTTAGCAGTCGTGCTAGGAAATGCTAACATTTATATAACCTCCTTCGCTCTTGTGCCTAAAGAAGTTGAGTAATGCAGAATAGCAGAATGAAAGTTACTGGTTTGCTTGACTGTGGTTTTGTTGGGTTTGGAAATGTGGAACCTTGTGCTATAACTACCACCACCTAAAAGGCCTTTTCCCCATGTCCAAGACCCTAGCCAGTCATTTGAACCCGTGTCTAAGACCTCTGGATTAGTTAGTGGTGACACCTCCTTATGTGAACTCTAGCATTTAGAGGCTGCATTCATGGTGAAGAGACGTTAGGGATTGAGAGAATAAGCATGCGCATCTTTCGCATCAAATTGTCCTGACCCCACTGGTCGATAGTGAGTGATTCATTTTCTCATATTCTCTATACTCTTTACCCTGGTGAGGACCTAGATTGCTCGGTCTTAATTCTGATATCTTGAGCTTTGTGCATGAAGTGACTGTTTTGAACAAGTGATTGAGTCAAGTCTATGTTGGTTGGTGAACAGGAGAGAACTCTTCCTTTGCTCGGTTTTATTGCACTCGCTATTTGCACATGTTTTCCCTTGTGTTTCTTGATCGTTTAAGCTTGCATTATCGCTTCTTTGGCCTATTTTACGCTAGGTTGTGTTCCTTTGTCATATTTCAGGTCCTAGCACATAAAGTGAAGCATAGGCGCAAGTTTCAAGTCAATCAGAGATCAATTGGCAATTCGGGAGCAGAAACTCGGGCATGACCTGAAGAAGAATGGATTTCTACCTCACTTTATGGACAAAGAATCATGCAAGCTTGTCATGAAAAGAAAGAGGAAGAGACTACGAGCGTCTGGGATCAAACGGCGACTGATTCGGAGTCCGGACGAGGGAGAAACGAAGCATTGAATATAGGGGAACATGTTCAGCAGTAAAAACACGGGCAGGAGGCCTTCAGAACACGGCCGTGTCTGTGGCCGTGTAATTAACCCTAGCCAAAGCACGGGCGGGCTGAGGCAAAGCACGGCCGTGCCCTCGACCGTGCTTTGGCCACTGATGCCCTTTTAGGCAGATTTTCAGCCAAAAGAGGGGGGATTCGAGTTTTAGAGAGACAGAGCGATTCCTAGAGAGAGAAAGCGACGAACAAGAGTCTCCAAGTGCCCTAGCTTGATCTTCATCACCATTGGAGCTTGGTTTGAGCTTGGAGGAGTGCCGATCAACGTCCAGGAGCTGAAATCCATCCTTCGCAGTATGGTTTCCGCATCTGATTCTGCTTTTGCTTCTTTCTCCATGGAGTAGTTCTCCCATTCATCTGGGTGTGGGAAACCCTAGATCTGTATGTTAGGATTGATTGTATGAACCCAAGTAATGTTTCTATGATTTGATTATATTCGATTGAGGTTTGAATGATTGAATGGCATGAATCCTGATCAAATTCCTGTTGTTTCTGCTTTAACCTAGAATGAGAATATCTGCCTAGGTTGATAGAGCATCCTTAATTGAAGGTAGCGAATTGGTGACTTTAGTCGAGGAGCCAATTTGCTATTCTGTACCGAATTCCATTCGGTAGTGGAGGTTTGGTTCGTTAGGGCCTCAATCTGTTTACTCCGGTGGAGGTTAGTCGCCCGCTAGAGACTCAGATTGAGAGGGTCTGAAGACCTTTAGTCGAGACTTCAGACTGTTTGAGAACCTTCCGCAGTATAACTATCATAGAAATTGAACTTGGTAATTACAATCCGGCTTAACTGCAGTCTAGGGGGAACCATATCCGGGTGACCTCTCTTAACCTGAAAACAACCGTTTAGTTGCTTTGCTTGCTTGTTAGTTTAGATCTTCACTTAAGTTTCATTGCTAGATAATACGAATTCACTGAGTAATCATCACATCTAGGACCCGGGTTGACATTAAAACCCAAACCCGCTATACTACGCTTTAGGAAGTGGTTACACTTGGCCATTTTCTAGAGTGACAGTAGGAGTGAGTCAAATGTCGTATTTTATTTAAATATGAATATGAATTGTAAGTAAATTATCTTCAAATATGTTTTATATATAATTAGATTTATTTGATAGTAATGCGCTTTCACACTTTAACTGTTAAATCGACATGAACCATCACAAATCAATTTTTTTCGTTGAATCGGTTACCCTTTTACTATTAAGCAAAAAAGAATTGCAATTAGCAATTCAAGAACCGATACAATGAATGGGTTGCCATAGTGGCCCCTCGACAGAAAAATACAATGAAAACAAGAAAACAATCGCTCCCACTACATTCTACTATATCACTATCACCAGCACTACAGTATTCTCAACATTGTCAAATCCTACTTCATTAATGCCTGCAGAGTCGAAGCATCACGTTTCGGTGCAGAGTTCCATCGTCTGCACCTTTCCTGCCAAATATAAGTGATCACCATACACCACTTTACCCCAATGAAACTTCCATGCGTGTTCCTGAGAGCTTGGCAAACATACATTAGTGATTCCTCCCAGGAAGATCTACACACCACCTCGATTCGCAAGATACCAGTAACTACTTGCTTAACAAAATCACAGCTGAAAAACAAGTGATCTCGTGTTTCACTGCTATTGTGACAGAGAACACAACAGTCATCATTAACCTTCCCCCATCTCAATAGCTTTTTCTTAGTAGTAATGGCATCAAGTATAACAAGCCAGACAATAAAACTGAACCTAGGGACACTGCTCTGCCACCAAACCAACCTATACCAGGCCACCTCGCTGTAATGAGGACGCAGGGTATTCCAGATAAGCTTGATCGAATATTTATGCATTGGTTGCCCATTCCACAAAGCACAGTCCCCTTGTATGCTGAGTAGAGATTGTACCTGTGCTCTTTTCTTCAAAATTCGACACCAAGCCCAAGAGCTATTAGCACTCTCCTTCATAGTCCAGACATTTCCTATTTTACGGCGATATTTGAGCATCCAGGCCACCCAAAGAGCTCCTGAATGCATCATTAAAAGCCATAATAAACGTAGAGAACAAGTAGGATTACAGGAGCTGAGATCTCGAATGCCAAGTTCTCCTTCTTTTTTAGGACGAGTAGGACGATCCCAAGCAATTTTGGCCCTTCCAGTATCATTACCATGCCAGAGAAAATCCATACAAAGTTTTTGAACAAGTTTCGGGATCTTCTTTGACAAAACAAAAACTTGAAGCCAATATTGAACAATACCAGAAATTACTGAGTTGATCAACTGACCATTTTTTAAACCTACGCTACAATATAAATCAAACAATTTTATTTTTATTGTACAAACTGAACTGATACTTGAAAATTATACTATAAAATGAATTTTCTCTCTTCTAATAATTATGATATAACTTCAATTTATATCACGTTATAAAAGTACTATAACACTCAAAAGAATGGGTATGAGAACTGATTTTACTAGCCTTGAGTTTCCGTTCGCTAGTAGTAATCGTGATTCCCCCAAACCCTTCCGGCGTCGACATTCACTAGTTTTTCTTTTCCCTCAGATATTTTAGTCGTAATATATAAAAAGGCGTGGAGTATTAGAGTAGCACTGGATCTGTTTTCGGCACCAAACACTTCGAATCTATCACCTCCGCTGGGCGATTTCCCCTGCTCCTTCATTCTCGGGGCGCGCGCCACTGGCAGCTGCCCATCTGATCAGCTCAAGAGTTAGGGTGGAATGGCGCCGCCGGCAGCCGCTGCTGTGGTGCAGCAGCAGGGACAGCCTGCGCAAGGACGGCAGCAACAGCAACCAGCGGGGATGAGCCAGACGATTACTGGGATCATAAGGATTGCTGTTTTCTGGTACTTCGCTTCCAAATTCTTCTCTCCCAAGAGACCCACCGCCGACCCTTCCCTTCTCACTACCAATCTCTTTCAGAAGGCCGAGCTCATGGTATTTCCCTCCTCCCTTTCTCTTGCTTCATTCCAACGCGTTCTCTTATGCTCTGATGGATTGTCGCTATTCTGCTCTGCTTGTTGCTTGGAGATCCAAAAGCTTAACAGAATAGGAAAGTAGCTCCTTTTTGCACCCGCTGGAATGGAACTTGATACTCGATTTGAACTGCTTTTTTGGGTATTGTTTTTGGCTTCATGGAATGAGATTTAGGTCACTGATCCATCCTGTTGTTTGGCATAACAATTCTAGCTACTTATAAACCTTGATAGGGCAAGGTTCCAATTCTGCTAGTTTTAGTATCTGATGGTACCGATTTCAGGTTACTGTTGTCGGAATCAATTACTGATTTAGAACATATGTTAGTTTTGTCCATGATCTCCTATTTGGGAATCATGTGGAAATAAATGGTTGAAATCATCTTCTGCGTGGCTTCTTTATGTAGTTTTTCTAGTAGTTCATGCTCAAGTTGCTTTATATTCCACTTATGTTAACGTGCTTGGCTCTGTTTCCAGGATATGTGGTTTTATGTTTCTGAGAGTGAGAAGTTCAACGAATTCAATAACGAAGGCGCTCTTATTTGGCACGAAACAAACATACCTTATGCAGTTTGGGGGCCAGAAAGTACTAGATCTCTTTCTCTGAAGTATTATCCCTCCGAGGTACAGGTTTCTGATAATATGTCATATACTCATATTCTGTTTCATCTTTGTGTGCTCTTATTATTTTTTATTTTGATATATGAGGTGCTCAAAGTTTTATGATTTACAATATGTTGGGTTGTTACCTGTCCTTATAACAGCCATACTCGGATGATTATTTGAACTACAGGAGCTTTTCAATATCATAACTTGGGCATTAGTTGTCGGGGTGGTCATATATGCGTGGGGACTAACTTTTTGGCCTAGAAGAGCAGCCTTCTTAATATTTGTGTCAAAAATATGCATTTCATAATCGGTTTGGGAAAATTTGAGCAATAGATGATTAAGTTTTGAGGCAATCAATTTATCCTTCTGCAGCTTTACAATTTACCCACACCTGTAATCCAGTATTGATTCCAAAGTGGAATTCTTTTGTTATGCATCCTTTCAGGCATTGAAGCACAATGGTAGTCTTTACGCACATGTTTACTTTGCCCGTTCTGGGTATCCAGCAGACCCACAGGATCCGGAATACCAACCTCTTGCTGCCTTTGGAAGGACTCATCGTATGGTTTCAGTACTATCAAGATTCTTCCTTTACCTTTCTAATGATCTGGTTTTGGATATTGAAGTGATTTCTTTGTTTCACTGATTCCTCAGCCATTGTGGTTTACCTGCCAAAGTCAAAATCTGATAAGAGGAAGAGTCTGTTGGGGGATGCAGAAGGTGGTGAAGAAAGTGAACCACTGACTCAGGTATTTTTCTTCAGTGGATCATTAAAGTAATTTGTTGACCTGTTTTGATGCTGAAACCTTCAATAAGGAAAGACAAAACCATGGTATTTTTTTGGGGGGGAGGGGGTGGGGGTGGCATTATCTGTGGTAATATTTTCAGGATCTTAAAGGCTGCTTCTGTATTTTAGTTTCTAGCAGAAATAGATTTGTTACATACACTGAAAGTACCATCTGTTGTTCATTCTGTGTATTCATATATCCCCAACTGTTTTACTATCTTCTGACTGCCATGGGCATTCTGTCCTGTCAAATTCCAGATTTTAAGCTTCAACTTCATGCTATTCTCTGATGTTTCTGAGTGATGCATATTCTATTAATGTAACCCTAACACAGATAAATAATACGTGCACCAGGTGGTTGATGATTCAGAACCTGATCCGAAAGAGGAAGGTCCTCCAGAATGGATTTCCTACTGGAAACCAAATATTACCGTGAACCTGGTTGAAGACTTCTCTAGGTATTTTTAATTTTCAACAACAATATTAGATATAATGGCCACAAAAGATAACTGATGGCTGCTGGGGAATTTTTTCCAGAGATGCATGCATCAAACCTATGGAACTTAAAAGTGGAGTTATAGATGAGATTCCAAAATAAAAATGGAATAATCTCCAATTCTCATTTCACTGGCTCCGTAGAATGAAGCTATTCTCTATATACTCTGATGTCCTGAATGCTTAGATGAGCTAACTAGAAGTTGAGTTATCTCTTCAAAAATGCTTAAGCCTCTAAAACATTGTGGCTTCTTGTTTTATGCTTGTTAGAAATCAAACTTCTACATTTTTCATAATTTTTAGATTTGCTCATGTAACAGTACAGGAAAGTCTTTGTTGGTTGCCTTGATGCATGATTAGTTTTAGTGTGTGCTCCTTTTGTTTCCGGACTTAATGTCTCATAAAGTTGCGAGAAAAGGTGCTTGATATTTGATGTTTCCTTAAGTTGAAGGTGTTTTGCTTTCTTTTTCATAGTATAAAACAACTTCTCCTTCTTTCTTTGTCATGGAATTTTCGTTCATGTCATGTTTCAGTGATCATTGGGCACTTCCATGTGAATAGATAAACTAACTGTATTTTATTTTTGGCTCCTTCTCCGCAGATATTCACAAAATGCAGTACCACCAAATATTGCTCCTTGTATCCTAGCAACGCATTTTTCAATCTCTTAATTTATCATATATATTTTGTGTTCCTCTGTCATGTAAGCATCATCATGTTGACTGAAGGAGAATTAAAATGACAGCTGGAAAGATTGTTCCCAGTTTTGCTAATACCTGCATTGTACTAAAGTGACATACTGTAATGGTGAAATGAATAGGATGGCTACTATTAGCACACAGAGCACACCATCTATTGTCTATTGTGGTCCTTAACTCCAGTGGGCAGACATGAACTTTGAGCCCAGTACTGGGAATTACTATCCTACAGTATTCTTCAATGAGTTTTGGTTGCTCAGGGATAAGTTGACCGCACTGAATGAAACAGTGACAGAAGTGCCCCTTAATTTGGAAATTGGCCCAATAAGCATGACAAAGTGGCAACTATTTCTTCAGATTGATCAGTCGTTCCAGATACACCGAAGTTATGGAAGCATGCTTGATGGTGAAGCTGATGAGTTGAAGGTACTGTATCTCTGTATTTATGACATCAAGAGTCTTTATGAGCACTGCTTCTACATGTGGTGTCGTAGACCAAATAGTTAGATGCAAAGTGTATGCTATCTAGGTCGTGTCAAGTACCTGATCCTGGATGGAAAGATGATTGTGATTCGGTTCTTGTGGCAATGGTTACTTGCATGGAGATTGTCATTCAGTTCTTGGCATGTAGATTTGGGTTACATGTGATGTGACAGGATGGGAAAGTGATTGTGATTCAGTTACTAGAGGGAAGGACTGGTATGAAATAGTTCACCTCTAAGGCAACACTGTTATACAACATTATGTACTTATAGTTCATGCTTCAAGAAAAAGTATTTGAATTTAGATTGCTAGATTCTGTTTTGTGATCTCCTGCGTTTGCTTCCTGTTAGATTCCGATTCCGTGATGGAAATTATGATTAATGGCGTGTTCCGTTGTTTTCTAACTTTCAGAGGGTGTTCTTGGAAGGAAATCCTTATCTCCTTGGGATCACAATGGTTGTTTCCTTGCTCCATTCAGTCTTCGACTTCCTGGCTTTCAAGAATGGTGAGGTTTTGCTCTTTTATTAATCTAATAATACACAAGGACATTGGAATGTCCAATTTCCAATGGAAGTGTTTCTTACTGATCTTCTATTGCTGCAGATATACAATTTTGGAATAAAAACAAGTCTATGGAAGGATTGTCGGCAAAGTCTGTTGTCGTGAACTTTATATCTCAGCTCATCGTCTTTCTCTATCTACTCGACAATGACACCTCATGGATGATCCTTGCGAGCTCAGGTGTTGGTGTCTGCATCGAGTTTTGGAAAATTGGGAAAGCAATGCACATTGAGGTATGAGGGATACGTTAAATTTTTGCAGTCTTGCAGCCCCTTCATAATGTTAACTCTCCAAATGAACACCATTTTAGGTATGAGCCATGGAAAAAGTATGCAATAGTGTTCTGTGTGGATAGGTCTTTTAGGTTCTCTTCATCATTATTTGAAGGATGCATCATAACAAATGCAGATGTGCTTGTAGTACGATGTGATAATTTAATATTTATTCTGGGTAAAGCAAAGGATCTCGGTTAAGTTCTTTCTTGTAATTTAAAACAGCTGAAAGTGCAGTCTGGTTTCTGCTTCCATAATGCTCACTTTGTTCCTCACATGAACAGATCGATAGAAGTGGCAAGATCCCAATGCTGAGATTCCGGGACCGTGAGTCCTATGCTGGAAATAAGACGAAGGAATATGACGACATTGCAATGAAGTACTTGTCCTATGTGATATTTCTCCTTGCTGCATGCTTTGCTATTTATTCTCTCAAATATGACCGTCACAAGAGCTGGTACTCCTGGATTCTCTCGTCGTTAACAAGCTGCGTTTACATGTTTGGTAAGATATCATTGTCCAAACCCCTAGTGGTGTGCTGTGACAAAATCAGTATTATCTGTTAAATATTTATGAAACGTTTAACTTCGCTGGTGGGGGGTTTGGCAAAAAGTTGATTGTGTTGTGTCCCTGCAGGTTTCATAATGATGTGCCCGCAGTTATTCATAAATTATAAGTTGAAGTCGGTGGCTCATATGCCTTGGAGACAAATGACATACAAGTTCCTCAACACCATTATTGATGATCTATTTGCATTTGTCATAAAAATGCCTATACTACACCGGCTCTCAGTCTTCCGTGATGGTGAGAGTCTAATTTAGTTTCTTTTTTCTTAGTTTCCCCTTTGGTTTCAGTTCTGCTATGATTTTATCGACATCTGTCGGGCAACGTAATGATCCCCATGCCTGGTGTTGTTTATTTGTTTGCAGATATCATATTTCTGATATATCTGTACCAGAGATGGGTGTATCCAGTGGACAAGAAGCGTGTAAATGAGTTCGGCTTTGGAGGCGAGGATGATCCGGCCTCCATCACCGCGGCGGCGGACGCTGGTGCTACAGTATCAAAAGAGGAAGATAAGAAGACAAACTGATCAAAGCTAGCTTGAGATAATTATTGTTTTAATCTTGTCCCTGTCAATATTTTTGGAAACTAATCTGCAGCAGGAAGATTCGTTTACTTTGTTAGGAAAGAAATGTTGCTAGTTCCATCCAGTCAGGCTTTGGTTTCTTCTTCTTGGGGCTCTTTTTTTTTTTTTTTTATCAGTTTTGGTTTGATGAATTCCTACTCTTGTGGCCACAAAAAGTTGTATTTCATGGAACGCAGAATGGTCCAGTACGACAGTTAAAGGACATGATATTTGAGTATTTTACAGTCTCTCACCCAAGGCGGAATATGATATATTTTTTAGCTCATTGGTTCTTAATTCAACGGTTTGGAAAAAGGATTAGAAACCGAGGGGAATGGCCAGTGTTATGTTAACATCCAACTTTCTGATATGATACTAATACCAGGTTTAGTCAATAGGAATTTTTATAAACAGGGTTTGTTCATAGTTAATGGGGATTTATAAACAGGGGTACGCTTGATCAGTTGATCTGAGACGACAGTCGTGCTCTTCCCTTTTCCTCAAATTCCATCGTTTCAATAACTGTTCTTAATAACCTATGGGAACAATGCTCTCGTAAAGAAAAGGCGCGAATTGATCCCATCAATCAGCTGGCGGTATTGGCTAAAAACAAATTGCAGCGATCACAGAGAGAGAACCAAACCGGTAACATAACTATGTCTACTTCCTTCAAGCCTCAGGCCGCAGATAACACGAGTTCGTCGTAGTTTTACCCGTTCATCAAAACATGCACATTACCTCGCTCTCCCCTAAAGAAAAGCAATGTAATGAAGCAGCCACTACTTCCGTCCACATACCTGAGGTCCTAGCTGGGATTTTACTACTTAACTAGTTACTACTAACAGCTAAGTCACTCCAACTTGTGGGACACTCATATCTCATGCTTGGGCGTTCACTTCTGGGCTGTACTTTTTCATCAGATTGGCCAGCTGGGAATCAAAGTCTCTCTCCAGATCAACCTCTTCCTTCCAGTGTCTGCGCCTCATATCAGCGATTCGGTCCTCGTGTAGTTTCACCAGCTTCTCCCTCTCCTCCACAAACTCCTCCATCTCTTTCTCCTGAAGCTGGATGAACTTTGAGATCTCGTCCACCCTACCAACAACAGGTCAACGGACCGATAGATCAACAGCTGCAAAGCAACGATGTACGCGAGCATTAACAGTTAATCTGCGCAATAGAGACATACCTGCTTCTGTATTCCTCCTTCCCATATGAACTCTGGTCTTTCACCTTCTTGCGCTCCTCCTGCTGTCGATTCTCAAAGTCATCTTCCTTTGCCTTCCTTTCTTCATGGATAATTCTGAGTTGATCCTTGAAGAATTCTTCTTGGAAATCCAACTTCAAACAGACAAAATTCAAATTTGTCAAAAACTGTCCAACAGTGATGCTTGCCCAAATACCAACACCTATCATCCTCATTCACGCATCTACCAGCAAGGAGCAAGCCATGCCCAAACAATGTATTCATTGCAGAAACTGATCTGCTAACTGCATTCAGTTTTCATGCCAATACACTGTTATGAAGTGGTGACTTACTTTGCTGCATCACTTCATACAGCTTGACGGACCAGTTTTTTAATCCTTAAAACACTATTAAGCATGCAGTATGGAGTAATGGGCATTCAAATGCAGATTCCAATTGAAAAGATTTCAGACATAGCAGCTTTTGAGCAAAGAAAGAAGAGCAGAAAGGATGACAACAATACTTGAAACTTATATAGCTAGACAAAGCTTGTAAGCTAGTACAAGCATCTCTGGACCGCTGGGTACGAAACCAGTATTGCCCATCCAGAGCCAATGAGCACAAACAACACAAGTGCTCTTTTACTCATTTCTGTACTGAGTTCAACCCAGAGTAACTCCCTCAACAGGCCATGACATGCTCGTACTAGTTTGGTGCGTAAATACGTGGCGAATGACTTTATAAAATCACTAAAAAGTAAACCTAAACCGAGGACTAACGATAATTCACAATTGGTTTCATTACCTCTTCTTTGTTCTGTTCATGATATATCTGGGTTCTTTGTCTTACAATGCGGTTTTCCTCCATTGTCTTCCTCAGCTTCTCACTGACAGTGCCAAGAGATTCTGCAAGAGCTCTGGAATTCCTCTGTTCTTTTATAACTTTACTCTTGTAAAATGTAAGCTGCTCATTATCATTGCAGACTTGGTTATAGTCTCGCACCACCGCCTCGTTGTATGACCTCATCTCGTACTTCAACTTTGCCTTACCTATTGACGAGATAAATATATATATACATAAAACCAAAGTCAGTGCAGACAATAAAAAGGATCCACAACATCATACGAGGGAAAAAGCCAATACACCGATTAGAAAAGGAAGCTATGTACATAAGCAGAGCAAACATGTGGAAGGATAGATGGGAAAGGGCAACCAACAGAAATATCCATGCAGATAGACACACACAGAGATAGAAATTACCCTGAGAATGCTGATTGAAGATGTCCATATCTTCCTTTGTTGCCATGAAACCATACAGCTGCCTCTTGCCACCAGGATAAAACAAGTTTCTCCTTTGATTATTCCATGCGTTCCTATCTGTTCCCTGGTCTGCAAAATGCCTGTCCAAACGTGCCGCTTCAAAATAACCCCTTGAAGAGCCCTCGAAGATGAGGAGACTCATGCCACGGTGACCCTGTGGCCCATAAGAATGCCTGGCCCTCACAGCCGCATATGATCTGAAATAATCAAGAAGCTCTTGGTTGCCCATGCCAAGCCACTGAAACACAATTCAGGTACAGATGCCTTAGATAGTATCAACTTGCTTGATGTTGTTATTATGAAACAAGTTTGGTTGATATTGATTCTCAAGAAGCAAAAAGTAAAAATCATATAAATCTAGCATAAGCAAAAACATCCGGCTAAAGAGAGGAAGAAGCATTACCTTTTCATTGTCATCCTTATCAAGCCTTGTGTTCATAATGATAACCATAGGAGGCCAGACTATTTCGTAGTCTTTCTCTTCCTCCTTCAACCCTTTCCATTTGCCAAAAACTTCACCAGCAGGAATAACAGAAGTTCCCCTCCTGGACAACTCCTCATCCAGAAGTTCAGCAAGCTCCCTGTGTAGCTTTACTCGTTTCGCTCCTTTTGTTCTGGCATGAGCCATCAAGGGCTGCAGACCTTTGAACCAGTCAATTGAACCTGGACCACCTTGGCATGCTGGACAGTGCCACTGTCTTTCTGGTTCAGCAATCTCCTCTAGTCTAAGGCTGTCCAAACTATCAAAAAACTTCTTAAACCAGCGGCTCTTTTTACGGGTCTCAAAGCTCTTCTGACTAACATCAGAATCATAATCATCACTAAGAAGCTCATCATCACTATCATCTAACACCCCGTCGTCGTCTTCATCTTCTTCATCGACACCAGCTGGCTCATTGGCATCATCCTGCTCCTTTTCTGGTGTCGCTTCCAACTCTTTCACTGTGCCAGGCCTTGATTGCCAATTCCAACCATGCGCCAGCGGAGGGGGAACAGCAGCTTGTGGAGGAGCCCAATAATTCTCCAAGCTCTGATTGGACGCTTGATACTTTCCATTTCCTCTGCCAGTTGGTCTTGAAGACTCAACTGCTTGATTTGGCCGAGCATTGCCCGTCGCCCTTCTTGATCCACCATTATTTCGCTGTCCCCCATCTCTCTGCCCCCAAGATTGTGAGTTAGAATTTTGCGTACCCCAAGAATTCGCTGCTCTGCTTCCTGCCTTGTTCTTGTTAGACTTCTTTGAGTAGACCTCCCAGTCACCATCACCTTCTGGAGAATCAAGTTTAATATCTGCTACACCTTGATTCAATTGCTCAAACTGGGGATTGGATGTTTGTGGTGACTTCCCCTTGTTTGATGGAGTGGAACTTGTACCAGAAGCAAGAGACTTCCCACCCTTTCCCCTAGAACTCATCTTCCAAGCGACTAAATCTGAGAGATCATTAAGAAAATAAATGGTCAGATATCACCTATAGCAGCTAATGATAAATTGATAAAACAAAACAACCTACTACAGTAAAAAGTGCAGATCAGATTCAGAACTTTGGGACACCAAAATATTGACCTTCCTATAACCCCTCAGCAGGAATCAGGTCAAAAGTACTAGTAAAGTAGCTCTGAGAAAAGCTCATGACGAAGTCTCGTATCCATAAGAACAATGTGCAACAAGAATAGTCATATCAAAGCAATTATTTCGCTGCCTGCAGCGACCAGCCACTCACCAAAATATCTGTGGCTGATCAAAGCTTCCAATCCAGAAATTGAATAACCACTCAAGTATAGCAAATGCAGAAAATAGGCAATGTAGCCATATTCCTGAGAAATTACGGCAGGAGTAAAGGAGCATCAAAAGACAGAAGTGCCAAAAGAAGACCTACTTGGACTATTCGCAAAAGATGAGAGCTAAAATCACCTACAAAAAATGTCACAGGCCCATCGGAGAAGCCAACAAAGTGACCTAAGGCGTAGCTAGAGGCAAACAAGGGGGTTCCATGGCACCCCCTTGGATTTGGAGAAAAAGCCCAAAATTAATAATATTAGTATGTTAATAATGATATTTAATCTCTTAATTTCAATATCAATTGTCAAATGTGCTACCATTAAACCACAACAAACTATGTAAATTAATTTCATCTACTAATATCTACATTTTTACATTCTAGTTTATCAATATGGATAAGAAATGCAGACTATTAGAGAAAATCATTAGATGCTTATGATAACGATATATAGTCGGAAAGAGAAAATTAGTTATCATTAATGTATTTGCATGTGAAAATTGATTTGATTTGCTATTGCCAGTTGTCTATGCACAAGTTGAAAACATTTTATGCAGTGAAACGATTGATTAGCCTTTCACATCAAGTGAATTGAAATTGTGAATTGTTATTTGGTGAGATACATTAACTGTGAAATCTTGATAGTTTAGCCGATTTATATAATTTTAGAATAATTTCACAATATGAAATATCAAACTATATATGTAAAAAAAATTATGGCACCCCCTTGAATAAAATCCTGGCTACGCCCCCTGCTAACAGCCCATCCTCCACAACAGTACCCCCACTTGTTCCCAAGAAGAAAACACAACGCCGACGAGTTCGCATGTGAACAATCAAACCGGAATACAGCAGCGCATCAGTACAAATCAAAGAACACATAAAAAGCATACTGATCTGCCATACTATTACACCAGAGGAGGGAGAGATAACACCTGTCTCTCACAACTAGCTCCTGAAATGAGCATTTGCACATAAAACCCTAACCGGAAAGAGACAGTGAGAGACGAACAGGAAAAAAGCGTTTCTGAAGAAACAAAGCAAAAGAGGATGAAAGACAACAATCGAACCCCTAGAATCAAGCGGGAAATATATAAAAACACTCGTATACCTGAAAATGTGAAGATTCCCGTGCTAGGTAGACTCGGTCAGGCAGCGATGATCACCACGAAGGAAACAGAGACTGCGGCAAGAAAAAAGCAGCGTGAGGACTTGAAAATAGACAAGCCAAAGAGGATGAGAGAAGTTAGCCATAGCAAAGATCGTTAAAATACGCTTACAGAGTATGACGACGAGGCTCGCGCGGAGATCGTCCACCGGCGATTATTATCGGCAGTCCCGCTTCGAGAGCAGTGAACCAGCGACTCACAAAAGGAGTGTGAGTCTGTCAGTAAGGACTGAGGAGGGAAGCAAATGTACGTGAAAATGACAGGCTGCAGTAATATTTATCCGGTACGCTCAAGTCTACGCTTGCTTTTTGTTGAATCGTTCTTTGACCATTGATCTAGTACACAATTCCTTTGGTCGAATAGTAGAGAATCTTTGATGTAAAACTCTGATTTGGCCAATTACTAATTCCTACAATATGTCCTTCAACGTAGTTAAAAACGTGTTTTAAAATGTAAAAATACAAATATTTTTATGTTTCTATCTAAGCAAAATGCTTCAGATTCTATATAAAAATATTTTTTGTGCAAAAACGTTAAAAAAGTTGTCAAAAACGCGTTTCTTATCTGTTTCCGGTTGAAGGAGTTTCAACCGATTTCACCCTCTCGGTCCAGTATTGTTTCCCAACAAAACATAAATCAGAATATCAATCCCTACGGTCAAATCGATCCATAACGAGTCTTGAACATGTCATCAAAGTTTGAGGACAATCCAACGGTTAGTTTTACCGGAATCCTCCCCGAAACAAACTGCCCACATATAGAAAAACACGGTCGCACCCTGTCTGACTAGCAACATTTCTTGACATAACATATATCATAACGACGATCCCCATAGTCCGATCGGATCCCAAAAAGTATTGAACGCGTCCTCTAGATTTGAGGATGGTCCAACGACTTGTGTTTTTGGAATCCTCTCTTGAACTCACTACCTTGTTGCAAAACGAAAATTCTGCAGCTCCTCTATTTCTCTCATCATTTCCTTCTTCTTTCCTTCTCAATTCCCCGGCTCTAATTCCCCCTAAAATTTGCAGGTTTCTTCATGATTTGTTGTTGGTTCATAATTTAAAACTCGCCCAAATATTGGGGGACGTTACTTTGATGCGAGCATGACATATGACATGTTCAAGATAGATAAGAATGTTACACCACAGTTTCATCAAGTGATTACTTTGTTGTTTGATGTGTGACTTAAGTGATTAATTTTACTAATAATCTGATTTCTACGTTGAATGGATGAAAAACCTCATAATCAAAGAAGTCTCGGTAATCTTATTTAATTTGACAGTCATATTGACACAAAATGATCGATAATGAGGTGTAGTTGTTAGTTCGTTATGGGGTGAGATAGCGTAACAACCCCCTTAGGGGTTGTGAATTTCGCTTCCCTCTTCCAAGCCGTCCAATTCCCTTCCTTATGATCTGGCGGTCTATAATTATTAGGGGCAAAAAAGAGAGTGCCTCACTGGATCCGCGCGTCCATCTCTCCAATAATGTCATGCAGGTTTTGAAGGGGGTAAGGATTTGTAGGGGAGAGAAATCAGCCACCTTCCCCGCAAAAAATTGTTCGTCTGCCCAAAAACCCTTTCTCCTCCATCGTATCCCAAAAACCCCAGCAACCGTCGCCGATCAACTTTCTCGACGCTTTTTTTCCTCCATCATCTCCCCCGTTTGGTTGAAGTCGAAGACTTGGTTGTCCGGTTAGGAGGTAATTTCGGTCGATTTCACCATTTACTTCTTCTTTTTTGTCGACCCTCGTCATGACGATTGTAATCTCTTTGACAACCATTCTTCTCCACTAACTGCCCCGACTCCTTGCTTTTGTCTTTTCTCCGGCGTATTCCCCCTTCTTTGTTGATCATGTTTCTAGAGCTAGGTGTGTCCTGCATTAATCTTAGTCATAACTAGTAAAAAAAAAATTTGTTCTTTCATTGCATTGTCGGACATCCTTCCGTCGTCGTCCCTTCTTGCTGCCATGCAAACCATCGTAGGAGAGGTATCTTTAATTGTAGCCTAATAGTGATAGTTTAATTCAATGGTACCACTGGTACAAGATGTAGTGGTACTTTACTAGGATGGTACCACTTGTATCAGTTCCAGTGGTAGTTTATTAGTCGTAGCATTAATATATGTGTACCTGTGAATTTTGGTCTGACAGCAATGCGCTTAAAAGGATTCATTGTTACTGGGAGTGGTAGTCGAAGTTACTTTAGATAACAATCTTTTTTTTTCAATTGGTACCGGTTCTAGTGGTAGTTGTGTTACTGGTACCAACTACCAATTACATTAGTATACTAATAGTGGTAGTTTAATGGAATGGTACCGCTGGTTTTAGTTGTAGTGGTACTATTACCAATTGATTTTTACCAGTACCACTGAAGCGATACTAGCACATACTGATTGGTACCAATACTACTAAAATGTTTTAGTGTTCCTACTGGTATTCTTCTAATGGTTTTTCTATTGGAAGCAGTTTAATTAAGTCTTTGTACCAATGTAATTTTTTATGATAGCAGAAATGGTGAGAATAAAGACTACACATTATACATCAACGACAACAAATCAAACTGTTGGCTATGCTTCTAGGCAGGTTGTCATCTTGGAGGGGAGTTATCTGATTCTCGTTCTGGCCCTATTATGAAGCGACCACGTGACGAGTTAAGCAAGAGTCCCTGCATTTATTGACCCATCAATAGTTCTTTTCCAGATGTTGAGGAGTATGATGATTGTTTCTGTATGTTTAGAAGTATGAACAATGTTAACCAATGATATTGGACAAAGCAGTGGCTTGGACAAAGTTAGTGGCATTGATATTTCCAAGATGTTGAGGGCATTTGTTGACCTTTAGTTATGTTGCTATCTTTAATGTGAATCAATGATATTGGACAAAGTAGTGGCAGCTTACAACATTACAATTGATTTTGTGTTCCATTATCAATTTTCAATACAACTCGCACTAGTACATTTACTAAGTACAAGTAGACTTGTTCTCCAGTGGTATAAAAAACACTTCAGTGATACAATGGACTCGTACAACTAGCTATCGAGTGGTAGAGAGTTACATGAACCACTTCACTGGTACAAGTGTAACTATAGTGGTACATGTACCAGTTCAATGATGTAAGTACCAGTAACTATATTGGTACATGTACTACTTAACCGGTACAAGTGGAATGGTACAACTAGTAAGGTGATATTTGTATCACTTGAGTCGTAGAATTAGCATTGGAGTTGTACAACTATCAGTCATTAGTGGTACTTGTACCAAGCGAGAGTGGTAGAAATACCACTATAGTTGAACGAGTGTTAGAAGTACCAGTGTTATGGTATTAGTACCAATGCATGATAGTGGTAGAAGTACCAATGGCGTGGTACTAGTACTTGTGAATTCATGATTTTTTACCGCACTTTAAATGGTCGTCCACTGGTAGACAACAAATGATCAAAGATAACAAAACCTCATCAGTATAACGTAACATCTTTCACACGAAAAAAAAAATTAACTGTATCTTCTGACAGGTTGCCACATTTCTACCAAAATTGAAATGAACATATAACGAAACAAACGACCAACAAGATTTTGGCAATGTTTTTTTTTTTCCTTTTGCTGTGAGCTTGTTATTCAGTACTTTTCTTGCTTGCTCGCTTTCTATTTCCCAAATCGACATTAGCCTCTTCTTAAATATTCTCTTGTCCTGCCACTGCTTCATTTTGGTCCAATAGGAGCTGGAACGATAGTTGATACACCACCTGTATTTAAAAAGAAGATGCATTAGAGGTCATACTATTTAACTTTTACAAGTAGGCTACTACCACGACGTACCTGGTACCAGCAGTTACTACCACTAGGCAACAAATATCACCAAAGCTAGTCAACAAATATCGTCAATTGTACCATAAAGTGTCTACATCTAGGTGTCTACTACTAGTAATTTACTACCACTAGGCGACTATCGCTAGATGACTACCACTAGCTAACTTGAACCAGAAATACTGGTACATTTGGTCGTCGCATAAGGTGTACCACTAAAAAAATACTGCCCGTTCAACGGAAGTCGTAACAGCACTAGTTAACCCTAGCGAGATTGTTGGCGTCGACGACATTCTCTGTGTCGTCATCATCATCTTCAACGTATTCGTCTGGGTGCGGCACGAAATCTTTGTTGTTCTCCACGTTTAGGCCAAGAAATTCATGAGCACTGAATCATCGTCTTTGTAGATATGTATAAAGTTTAAGTGATCGTCGTCGTTGTCCGCATTTCTCACGTTGTTGAATCCTTCGTCGTTGTCCAGCTACTCCGCGTCGACAACAACGCTGTCCTCGGCAAAACACTCAAAACTTTCTTATATTAGGGATTGCTCCGCGGCCATCGTGGAAAGGTGTTTCCGGTGTTCTATAACTACATTTGAATGATAGTTTTTTTTCCAATGAAGCAGAAGCAATGAGGAAGCCAAGAGATGGGGGGAGGGGATTTTTTTTATGAAGTTGCAGAGATGGGAAGGCCAAGTGACGGGAGAGATCCATTCCACCAATCACGCCCAATAACCGTTTCCAATAAAATTACATTTAATATTTCATTTTCTTTCCTTTTATTTATTATACAAAGCATCCCAAAACACCCTTTGCTTAATAATAACTGTAGGATGGAAAAGGAAGATCAGTGGTTGGGAAGTGGGAAGCGAAAATCACAACCCCTATAGGGGTAGTGACGCTATCCCACCCCGTTGGTTATACTTTTTTATTAATGCAGAAGCCTCATTATTTCCTTATTAAATTGTTGGTTTAGTTGTACGTTTGCTCTACTATTAAAAGTGTTTTAAATTTGATTATCTGCATGAGTAGTAACCTTTTTAAATGAGACAAGTAGTTTGTAGAAGATTAATAAGATTATGCACAAAAACATACGGTTTTACGCTACGCTTTTACGTTTTACGTTTTTAGTCATGCTTCTGCTTATATGTAGAAACGCGATTGGACTACATTGATTCCCTTAATAATTAATAAATATTCAATACATTAAAAAAAAAAGCCAAACATTGTATTGTAGAAAGCGTTGTACAAAAATTTAAGAGATTAATATAACTTGGAATATTTACATAAGCAAAATATCCTTCTACAAAAATTTAAGAGATTAATATAACTTGGAATATTTACATAAGCTAAATATCCTTCATAAAACAAAATTAATTCTCAAGCTCTAGTACTAAACTTAAATAACTTCATCATGGAGTCCAGTGGTGCACTAAACTTTATGATGAGCTACTGAATTTCAGATTTTGCTTCTATTGCTCCTATGATTTCTGAGTGTAAGCATAGTGATCAGTTTTTATACAGCTTATTAAAGCCGAACCGAGCTGGTCCAACCGACCAGTAAAACAGGAGACCAGCCAACAGCTCGTTTCGGGTGGCTG